TCACTTGAGTCTGAGAATGTGAAGAACGCATGCCATTGCAGGGATCTATGAACATGTCAGGTAGGTAGGCACTTCAAACTCGTCTGTATATGACTCTGATGCGGCGGTAGACTTTAAATATTGGAGTTTCCGTTGCTCTCCATTAACGCGACTGTATAAGGCATGATTTTAGAGTTTATCATATCTATGGCAACTTGGGATAATTTATATCTTTCGCCAATTGACCGAGAAAGTGCTCCTAGAGTCTATAAAACGGGCCGTGCAAGACGATTTGAGCTTTTACTGCCAAAGTGGACAGTAAGTCAAAAGCTTCCAGAATCATCAATTACAATCAGAAGTAATGGACGCTATTGGATTCAGCGGATACAATCATTAACTCAACTTCGCTCAGGTAACCCAAAGATGTGATCATTAAGTCAAGAAGGACTTCAAATCTATTCTTTTAACACTACAAGTACCTTACAGCTGGCAATCTAGGTCTGCGATGACGATGAAATTTGATATAGCTACATGGTCCCAGGTACAATCTCGTAATGATGCCGCTTAGAAATTCAGATAATGTAACAATTCACGGGCGAATCTTGAGACAACTAAAGCCTTTCGGGGGTGGGACTAAAACTCTGTACAAAGTCGTTATCGTGATGGCGCTGAAGGTGGACCGTATTTCGAAGTGGTGATCATTAGGCGGACGAAGCTTCGGATGAGGCGGCAAAAAGGGTACGCTAAAACTAGCTAAAAAGTAATCATATTGTGACAATCGATTGATATCATTTTCAGTCTCCTCACGATTTTCGGTTCGATTTTAAGAACATTCTGTTATTCAGTTACACTTTGTACACTTACGGCATAGGTCCACTTCTCTATCCACAGAGGAGATCATGTTATCACCTCTACCTATCCAGCCTACCCTTGTTTGTCACCTCGGTATGGTAAATTACGTGTTAGGCTGATACCGTTTATGCACCTACCCAGCAACGTATAATCAATGTATATCAGCCAGAGAATAGAAAAGTTCTACCTATTAAGAACAATTGTCACAACCTTCGTCGTCATTTCACACTACAAGTGGGTGGGCTACGTGAAACATACATCAGTCTCCTGTTAAAAGGCAAATCGCTCTGTGCGCGGCTTATTATAGCTTTTAGATTATTAGCGTGAGAATATAGTGAGTTGTGGCACAGAAGAGATTTGTTGTTAAATACCATTTCGCGATCCATAGCCTGTCAGGAAGCTGTCCGCAATGACTGAACATATACCAAGGGCGAAAAGCAATGAGCCTAGCCGTCCTGCCGACGAGAGATCTCGGCCTAAGAAGCGACCCAAATTCCCTCATATCGGCAAGAAGATCAACAAGGCGCCTACTCAGATCCTACATGTTTACGTTTTCGGTGAGGGATCCTCTGGTGAACTTGGCCTCGGCAGCAGGCGCATTGCCAACAAGAAACCCATTGATGTCAAGCGTCCTCGGCTTAATGATAATCTCTCCGCCATCAAGGTCAGCGCCGTTCAGGTATCTTGCGGAGGCATGCATGTTGTCGCGTTGACGCATGATAACAAGATCCTGACATGGGGTGTCAACGATCAGGGCGCTCTCGGCAGAGACACCAGCTGGGATGGTGGCATTTGTGACATGGATAAGTCGAAAGACTCTTACTCGGACAACGAGGATGATACTG